CCAGCGATGGGTCTGGCTCCTATTGTTCTTCTGTCTACCTGCACCTTCCCCCACCATTGTACCTCTGCCTATTGTTCCTCTGGATTACTTAATCCTCATCTGGATTCCCTCCCGTGGCGTGCAGAGCCGTGGAACGGCTCCTCCCACCTGCCTCTGGGTAAAGGCCATGCCAGATCTGTCACTCCTGCTCCTCAGCTCTTCTTTAGCTCCTCCCCACGGGCATCAGCAGATGCAGAGCCCGGCCTTGCTCTGCTGCTCCCCATTTTGTCTCATCCCCTTGCAGGACCTGCATACTTGGTTGCAGTGTTGAGTGCATTACGTATGTGCTGGTGTCCAGGTGACACACAGCCTCGGACAGGAGGGGAAGCAGTTGACTTTGTCTCACCAGTTTCTTTAGCACACTTTGAATGTGTCTCTCTCTCGCTCCTGCAGATATGCCGGTATTAACCAACGGCCTCACTGAACTCCCAGGGAAATCACTCGTGTATCTGAAACTCTTTTTTGTACTCAGTAAACGTTCCACGTCAAATAGCCAATGAGTATAAAACCACCAGCAGCTGCCCGTGGATCTGATCAGGATGTTGTCATCACAGCAAAAACGCGCCTAATGCTTTATTTGTATTTTGTTGTCTATTAGTGGGATGGCCGTTAAAGGAATTTATAGTAATTTAGGGTGACTTACGAGCACAAGTCCTGTTGACTTTCAATGGGACTTGTGCCCCAACTCAAGTGCTTTTGAAAACCTCTCTTTGTGCAGGGGTCAAGCTGCTCCTTCCTGTCATGTTGCTGGATGAGGAATTCCACTGGTAACTGGCTTAGCAATAAACAGGGGTAATTATTACACTGGAATGAAGTCAATGGCTAGCTCAAGTGTGCGGGAAAATCCCCCTGACCCTTAATGTTGGAGGAGTCGGGCTAGAGGAAGTGCCAATCAGACAGCTGTGCCTTTTAGCAATGTATCTCATCACCGGGTCGAACACAGCCGTGTGCTTGGAAGCTCTCCTTCCATAGCCCTGCAATTGATTTTTACTAAGCACTGATTTGTTTAAATACTGGAAGTGCATCAAAATGAACAGTCACTTGTCAGGAAGAGAAAACCTCCCAGGTGCGGTACATTGTGTCGTCTCTAGTTACATGGAAAGAAAATACCCCAGTCAGTGATGTCACAACATTACAACATGCACTTAAGCTTAATGAGAAGGGAGAGGTTGCGGCTAACAGGCTGGTTGTTTTTTTTCTAGTTTCATTTCAAATTAAGCACATTCCCAAGAACAGGAGCTGGCTTCTGAATCATTAAACTGTCGTTCTGAGGAAAACTTGGCACTATTATAACATTGTTCAAAACAACAGTTTTCATCCTGGCTGTGAAGAGCTGATAACTCGGACTGTGCAAAGGGTCAAGAACTCCCCCATAAGCCAGGCCAACTCACCTTGTTTCATAGGTAATTTCAAACTCGCAGCTTGGAATCCAGTTTGCCAAAAGGTCCACTAAAGTTCAAGTCTGAGAGAATTTGGGCTGATGTCTGGGTTTCTCCAGCGCGTAGGTGAGATTGGCGTTTTCCTTCAGGCTGAGTTTGTTGGAACTCAGAATTCAGAGGGTAGATGGAGCCCAAGGAAATGCCTTCCCCAAAGCCAGTGTGTCATGCTGCCCTACAACTCCGGTTGGATCTCTTTCAGCAGGTACTGTAGATGGGCATTCTTCTAGCAAGCTAACACTCCTGCCTCATAGGGATCCTACGGCACAGGATGATCCAACAGAACCCAAGACAATCCTGTTACCTCCCCCAGTGTTCCAAATACACCTTTTACGAATGGCTGGATTGTGCCCTGCTTGCTTGTGCCAAGTAGCTCCTCACTCCATCAGGAGCCACACAGACCTGTGAAGTACGGTGCTGCTCACCGTGAGTGGGGGTGGCACAAACTGGCCCTGCAAAAGAGGATGGGCCATAGAGTCAGGGCAGTAGTTGGAAATGGAAGCAATGAAGCCCTCAGTCAGTCCCCACCTGAGTCCCCTTGCCAAGGAAGGATTCTCTCCTGCCGTAAGTGTGGAGGTGCTTTGGCCAGTATGCTATTTCTTGTCCATAAAGGGCTCTTTGTGAAATCCGCACTCACCGCATGGAAAGCGAGAGACCCCTTTGAAGGAGCCCTTTCCCACCCATAGCCCCTCGGGCTCCTGGCCTAGAGGGGACTTTGATTTTATGGTCCATTCTCTAGTGCGACTGATAAGTGATGTCCACTCGGAAAAGGCCACACCCCACCATGCCTGTCTGGCTGGTGACTCACTCAGGGAGGATATTACAAAGGGATCCTAGGAAGTTTAATTTAGGAGTTGGAATTTTCATATCTGGTCAATGGTTTGGGAGCATGAAGAGCAGGGGCAGCAGGCCGGCAGGTTCGGTGGATGTGTTGCGGGGAGGGGGGATAGTTAGGAGGATGGGTGGATGTGGCGGGGGTGACTGGATGTGTCTGTTGTGGGGTCGGTGGCTGATATGTAGGTGAATACATGTCAGGGAGTGGGTAGGAGGATGGGTGTGTCAGGGGCAGGAGGATAGATGTTTTGGGATGGTTGGGGAGATGTCAAGTGTGGGGGGGTGGCCAACTGGCAGGTAGATGGATGTGCTGGGGGTGGCTGGCTGGCAGGTTGGTGGATGGGTGTTTCGGAGAGTGAGTAGGAGGATGGATGTGTCGGGGGAAGGTGGATGGATGTCATGGTGGGAGGGTAGATGGATGTGTCGAGGGGGGTAGTTAGGAGGATGGATATGTTGGGTGTGGGGGTGGATGGATATGTTGGGGGTAGTTAGGAGGATGGATATGTCAGGGTGGGAGGGTGGATGGATGTGTTGGGGGGTAGTTAGAAAGATGGATGTGTTGAGTGGGGGGTAGTTAGGAGGATGGATGTGCAGGGTGGATGGATGTGTCATTGAATTTTCTTGGTGTTTGGTTTAAAATATCCTCCTGTGAAAACTGCGACTCAATCACTGTAGTGTTGTGTTGTGTTTAAGACCCTTCTGGAAAGTAACTAGCCTTTAAACAGAAGTGAAACTCACTCAGTGTTGCCAACTCTGATGATTTTGTCATGAGTCTCATGATAATTATTGTTTTCCTTAAAGCCCCAGCTCCTGGAGTCAAATCATCTGTGATGATTTCAGCCTTCGTTCTTAAAGACAAATGAAGTTCCTAGCCCTCCTGGCTGTGGAGAAAGCTCCGAAATGTGACCCCAGTGCACCTTAAAGGCTCAAAAAGCAGAATGTAAATAAAAAGAACACCACAATCCCTAATTTTTACATAATCTCATGATTTTAAAGCCAATCACATGATTTTTGGTGAGCCTGAGTCATGATTTTTTGAACATTTGGGGTTGGCAATACCGTGAAAGTGACTTGAAAGTGTCAGTTTCACTCCCATTTAAAGTCAGTTTCTAGTCTATTCCTAGTGGGTAACATCCCTAGAGCCCCAGACAGGTGCAGTATAAATAAACTCACGGGGCCTTGTCCTAGTTGGATGTTTTGAAAAGTTAAATGATCTATTCCAAGCTTGATGAATTGCAAAATAGTGACAGAAAGTCGTCTAGATTTTTCTACAATTGTTCCAATGGTTGTATTCAGAGTTAGTAACAAAGTAAGAATAGACATTAATTTTTTAAACCTAACCAGTGTCCCTTAAGTGGATTGACACAAGATGTCAGAACATGGTAGTATTAGAGCTAAGTGGGTCTAATTTTTATTTCATTTTCTTTTTTTATATAGGGATTAGACATGATCTGACAAGAGCACCTAAGTTGTTATTTGCAAAAAACAACCAAATACCCCCACCACCACACACACACACACAAACAAAC